ATTATATCGATTTTCTTAAGTCAATTATTAATGGAAGAGATTCGCATTAAATTTGCTATATTTAAACGTCAATTATATATTTTTTAATTGTTTCTGCTCAAATCAATTGTCAATTGAATTGTCTTCAATTGAATCTGTTTTTTTTTCAATCGTCCATTAAAGTACTTCTAATTAAAATTAACTTATTAATCGTTTAATTGAAAAACTTTTAATTAAATTAGCTTGTATTAATCGTTTAATCGATCGCTCTCCGATTAATTTCGTTTATATCGATTGTCAATTAAATAATCTTCAATTGACTTCGATCATATTAATTGTTAATTAAGCGATCTTCGATTAATCTAGCTTATATCAATCGTCATTGTAACGATCTCTAACTAATCTTTCTAAAATTAATCGTTAATTAAAAATATTTTAATTAAATCTGTTCATATCATTTGTTCAATTATAAAAAATCTAATTGATATTTTGCCATCTCTGCTTCAAACAATAATCGTACCACTTTCGTCTTCTTCAATAATGTGCGGAACAGAATAGTCGCACAAACGCTCCAAACTGATCACTGGGTCATACAGGTTCTCACCTGACACGGAAATTTCAGAATCACGCACATCGGGTCCTAATGGCGTAAGTGCGGTTTCTAGGAGGAAAATCAGCTGGAGAAGCAGGAGGGATCGCTCGTTGTGGCTAAACTGTCCATCCTGCGAACGCCCGCAGGCGCTGCTGGATTTTTTTATCGCCATTCTCGAGGCAGTTCCGGTGAACGGTGGGTAGCAGTTGTGGCGTATGCCCGCATGGGCGAGGTAGCCGGAGCTCGTCGCCTTCGCGACGGCAACTCTTACAATAACTGTCTTAAACGGTCCCGCCGTACTAACTAATAATTAATTTCATTCTCCAGTTTTTGGTCGAATTAAATGCATCTTATTATTTGTCGAAATTTGTCACTAACGATCAACAATTATTTGTGAAGAATTAGTTTCATGTTTTTTGATGTTAGAGTTATGTTTTTTTATGCGCGTATCCAGATGACGTTTGATTCGCTCAATATAACAGGAATTGCAATTATTACAAAAAATTTTGTATACAGTGGAACCTCTCTCAGTTGGGTTGATGCGGAGACAAACCCGACTACGAGAGGTATCCAATAGCATGCTAGAAAGCGGTCACAATGGACTTAGCCTCTTTCCTTCTCTGTCTTCGACACAGTGCCGTGCAGTGCTCAAGCATGGAGAACGGAATCCTTACATATTTTACGAAGTGAGTGTATATTTATAATTTTGTCGCATAGCAATTGCAAAAATAATGCGACATAAGCATGCGTATGTGATCACACAACATGTATATATTACCACATGCGCATCCTCATATCGCTGACTTTCGTCCCGTGCATTGACAGATTTCCTAAACTCGTTATTTTATTTCAGGACAATTTCATGCAAAAACGCGTCGATTGAGCATTTACATAAATACAGTGAGATAGACAAAGTCAAGAAAAAATACCGGCGATTAGAAATTTCTAAAAAAATAGCAATATTGAGTTGCTTGGAAAAAGGTGAATCCGTTGCAAAATTGGCAGCTGAGTACAACGTCGCACATTCTACGATATGGTTAATCAAAAAGAAGAAAAATGACCTTTATAAATATGCAAGTTTAGTAAAGGATAATGACGGTTTTTTAAAGAAAAAAAGTAATAAACTATGTAGAACATCAGCTTCTGGATAAAGCGTTATTTATGTGGTTTCAACAACGGCGTTTATGGCCCTGATCACTTCAAAGGAAGTAACGGTTAGCTATGGAGGTGAAAAATTTATGTCTATTACGTATATATTATTTATATATTATGTACATAAAATTATGTATATATTATTTATATATTATGTACATAAATATGTATGTATACATACATATTTATGTATATATTATGACAGATTTAAACAACGACATGGTATTCGCGAGCTCAGCGTTCAAGGAGAAAGTCTGTCTAGTGATAACGAAGTTGCACAATTATTTTTTGAACAGTTTTCTGTGGAAATGAAAGAAGAAGGATACGACCCTGAAAATATATACAATGCGGACAAGAGTAGTTTGTTATGGAAAAATTTGCCAAGGAAAACTCTCGCAAGTCGTTCAGAGCAAACTGCCCCGGGACGAAAAGTACTAAAAGATCGAGTGACTTTCATGCTATGTACAAATGCTACAGAATCGCACAAGCTCAAAATTATGGTTATCGGGAAATACAAACAGCCTCGCTGCTTTAAAAACGTGACTAATTTACCAGTTTTTTTATAAAAATCAGAAGAGTACTGGATGGACGCCGAAATTTTCGAACAGTGGTTCCTAGAGTGTTTCATACCGGAAGTGGAAAAGGAACACAAACGTATGAAAAGAGAAGGAAAAGTCATACTTTTTGTTGACAATACTCCATGTCATAAACTTTCAGCTCGATGTATTACAGAGAATCCGCATTTTGTCATCAATTTTTTCCTCCGAATGTAACAACAATCAGTCAGCCAATGGATCAAGGCGTTATTGAAAAATTGAAAAGAAAGTACTAAAAAAATCTTTTGTTATCCAGTTGATTAAGCAATTGACATTCAAAGATTGTTGTGATATGATTGCAATTGCATGGGAAACAGTAACAGCAGAAAACATCTGAAATGCGTAGAAACTGTTAATTGCACTATCTACAAGCAAAAAAAATTCTTTATCTCGAGCGAATGATGTTGCTGAAACTTTAACAATGCTTCATAACATACATGGCTGTGAAGAATGCGATGAGGAAGATACGATGGCGTGGTTTAATCATAATGATCCTGGTTGGGAAATTCTTACTGACGACGTTATAGTATCTCTTTTAGGCATAAAAGTTTGTTTTATTTATTTATTTCTAAATTATTTCTTTTTGTTCCAAAATTTTCAGCATAACACTTCACTTTTCATAGACGTTTTCACATTCAATGTGGTATATTAAACTGTCTGTGTTGGTGTACATTACCCGGCATTTGTCACGATAGAGCGGTGACATGTATTCATGATGAAATTCATAAAGACATACTTTCGATATGTCGAGTATGCACATGCCGACATAGATTGGTTTATATAGTTTTACCTTTCGTAATTCTATGGCAACCAACTTTTCCGAAAATATGCTTGTACTATGAAAATTTGGTTTCGCGATCATTGCCTCTGCGCCGTATCGTCCGTCCCACTTTGTTAATAATTTTACATCCACATGATTACGCACATTTTTCATCGTTTTGCCAAATACCGCATTATTCATTAATTTATATAAATTTTTTTCAAAATTATTTTTCGCTTGTGTTTTAAACTCTGTATTAAGTTCGATATAATTTTTAAGCCATGCTGATTGAGTAAATTGTAGTATGCAGTATATTTTTGTAACGCGAAGCCCGTGACGCGTGCACTGCTGCAAGTTGTGGTAGTGTATCACGTAACGCTTCTTATCGTAAAGCGTTGCGTGATATTCTTAGCTTATACTCCCGTTTGCCGGGCGGCTTGTCGCGTGTCGGACAAAACGGTAGATCAATGTGTGCATTATGAAGATGTTGTGGATATTCTAAATCTACCTCGAGGATATAACCTGTAGGCGAATCGAGTGCGATAGATGAGATGTCGAAATTCGATACATTGTCGACCCATCAAAAATCGGCATACGGCAATGGTTGACACATTGCCCATCCGTACAAATTATTTACATCTAAGTACATGAGGTAGGATGATGGTTTCGATGAGTCGTACGATTGCATGTACTTGTTATTAGCATGTGCGTATTGACCTGAACATTGACTAAGACCGCCGCGTATACCCCGTTCGATAAACATAACCATGTCAATGTCTGTTATGATTAGCGCAAAATCAGGAAAGAAGCGCTAAATAGTGTCTCTCTCTCTTTCCCGCTCTAGCTGCGAGCCGATACGCGCTAGCGGGAAAGAGAGAGACGGCTGTCACTAAGCCGCCACGCCACGGCCAGCGAACGCGTCCGTTCGGGCCATTGTGTACCGCCAGCCGTGAAAAATATTTGTTTTAAACATACCTTTTCGTTCCTTCTAGAAAGACTCTAATAACAGAATTTGTTGTCGGAGTTGTTTTCCCGCCGGATCTTTCTAAAAGGATCAATGTCATTATAAGGCGCAAAGTCGAGCGCGGTCAGTCAGTCGCCTTTCGACAAACGACAAAATAACCGAGAATCTTTAAACGCGAAAATTATTACGGACACGGCTATTATTTGGACATCGATTTGAATTCTTATACGATTTTCGCAAGTGAAAGGCGTCGGGACATAATAATTATAAAATCCGGAATCGAAATAGTTGTGATTATCGCTTGCTTTATTCGAGTTCTATCAATAAAAGTGCAAGTTCTCTAGAAACCGACTCTATTTATTTATAGTGTCGCCCGATCTATCTCCAACAAAATTTTCTCTCCTCTCTGCGCTTCACTCACGCTTCAAGTCCGCTCGCGAACAATGTCTATAAATAATTTTAATTTTATATTTGTATATTTTAACATGGCGTCCCATGTATATCCCGGAAGAGTATAGTAATACGTAGAGTCAAGCCCATAACTCTTTATGCAACTGTCGCGAAAATTTTCAAATATGTCTGCCAATAACAAGACATTAATTATTAAATATAAATCACTATATTCACCTAGCGTTCGAAGGGAGAATCGGTTCCATACGTTCTCGGCGTGCGCATAATCACTCTCGGATACTTTTTCATCGATTAAAGAACTGTAAAATGATTCGCGCGGTGGTAAACATGCATCTTGCAATTTGTCGATACAGTCTATATATTTATATGGAAAGACGCCTTTCCGTGTCAAAAGATTGAATTTTTCACTAGATAAATTTTGAAACTGTGATTGTAAAATTTTGAATTTGTCTTTATTCAGAAAAGATGCCAATTTGTCAAGACTAGCACTGAGAAATTTATATGAGTCTATGAAACGTAATTTAATATGATTTTTTGAATTGTTGTCTTGCGTCAATTTAACAGTTTTCGAGAATGAAATGTATTTTTCTTTCGTTATTGGAAGTAATTCGATTCCCCCTTTGAACGCTGTGGCTTAGTCCTCGATAATGAAATGCGCGTCGTAACCGGACAGATTATGAAAAACTATCGGAATACAAAAAGATTATTTATAATTTAAACTGCAATTTAAGTGTGCGGGACCTCTGTACCATCCGGTGAGATGGCAATGATCGCGAACGCGTGCATCGTCTTGCTCAAACAGTTTTTCGCATATATGACAATGCGTTGCGCTGCGAAGTTTTTCCCACTCGTCAGATGTTAAATTTACCATGGGGACGTTTGTACTTAAAATATTTTTTACACGTATTGCTAAATTTTTTAGTTCTTCGGCAAACCACGCCACGCAATCGACACTACGGCAGGAATTATATATAGATAATGAATTGTCGTACGAGCAATGTACATAATAAGCTAGGCTAAATACTTGATGATGCTGATATGTTTTTTCTTGTTCCATCTTTTTCAAAACGCATTCCAAATCGGCGTACACCACAAACGGAAGCCGCTCCTTTCTGTTGTAGTTGTTGAAGCTAAGCCACTTGTCCTTATCGCTCGGTAATCGGATAGCGCAGTCATTTAATTTTCCACAGTCTACAGTATGCGTCTGCAACTTGTCTTCCGAATTGAAATAGTGTAAACATCTGTAAAATAAAAAATTATAATTTTAATTAAAATTATTTTTTAAATTTTAGTTTAATAAATATATACGTACCGATCACAGATATATCTTCTACATTTCTTTTTACTCAGTTGCGCACTGACAAGTCGAGATAAATTCTTTATCCAAGCGAAATGTCCAACGCTGTTTTCGTCTTGCACGTACAGCAAATTGACGTGTCTGTCTTTTTTTCTCTGAAAGACGTAGCGGGACAATGTTGTTCTCGATGCTGTACACATTCACGGAGATGTTGTTTGCAAGTTCAAACTTTTTAATTTGATTTATAGTCACTGGAAACTCAATGTTCTGGAGATTCAGCACTGTTGTGTAATGTGGATAAGAGGATTCTCGACTCGTGCTTCTTTCAGCAGGGTAAAGAGCGGCCACCACTGACCATGCGAAACACGCATTGTCCGCTGATTGCACATTAACCACCGCTCTCTTTGTCACAATTTCTCGCGGTAATTTGATACGACATCCCGCGCGCATTGGATTGTATTTATTTATATTTACAGTTAAATCTATTATTCGCGACAATGCCCAACCGCTATCGCGTTCCTGAAACTCTTCTAGCGATGCTAGCGTGGGCTCGATAACGCGGCGCTCGTACCACTCGCGTAAATCAGACGTGCGAAAGAGTTCAAAGTTTATCGCATTGACGCTTTTATTGGCACGGTTATCACGGTTATCAGATACAAACTCACCATTAAATATAGTGTTCACCTTCACACTGATGTGTCTCTGCAACATATTTTGCACATTCTCAATTACAATGTTTTTAGCATTTTCTAAAAATTGTCGCGGTTTGATGTAGTTTGTATTAATTATTGCACCGGTCAGTATACGACTCTCGAACGCCGTATCAATTTCGCGCCAAACGAGTCTTTGCACGTTATTGTTGCCGTCGATATTGCCACCGCCACTGTATTCACCACCAATACACATATATTGTCTCTGCAAGCGTACCTTTACACCCTCGAGTCGCACTATTGTAGCCACCATAGATTGTCTATGTCCGATTGAGAGTCGCGGACGCTTGACACGGTTGCATTCTTCAAGCTGTGCGATAAATTCGTCGCACTGTTGCAACCATTCTAAAAATTTGCCCAAGGTGGCGATTTGGTGGGACCGCTCCAATAAATTGCGCTCAATATGCTCCGCGTTTTCAATGTTCTTTTCTTTTTAATCACTATTATGCCACTGACGCAAGAAAGTAATCACTAAACTTTTGCACCACTGCATCTATGCATTTTCAAAATCGTACTATGGCTTGACGCGCTCTCATCCTCCTTATATATATTTCATCTAATTCTGTATTCTTTTTTAGCATTTGGTGTATCCCAAAAAATAGTTTCCCATGCCGTTTTATGTGTGGAGGAGTAAGGCAGCCGAACGTTGGCGCCGATGTGTTGTAAAAAAAAAAAAGGAAAATGTTTCTCTTCCGTTTATGGAAGATTTTTCGCGAGGATACAAAGCTGCCGAACGTCAGCGCTTTTACACTCGTACCGCCTATAAATAACATTTTGACAGTTCGTCGCAACGTTGGCCCTAAAATCTCAATTTCCTTCCGTATGTCGGAACAATAAAATGCATCAAAAAAAGGATTTTATGAATATTGGAGTGCCCCTTTTTTAAATTTGGGCAGTCATAAACCCCTGCCCAGCTTGACGTCATAAATCCCTGCCCAATGTGACGTCATTCCCCCACCCTTAGGATATCCCCTCGCCCCGCACCCCGCTCAGAGGCCCTGAGTTAGAACCAGCCTTATATCACTACTTACATTCTTTTCAATTTTTCAATGACGCCTTGATCCATTGGCTGAATGATTGCTGTTACATTCGGAGGAAAAAAATTGATGACAAAATGCGGATTCTCTGTAATACATCGAGCTGAAAGTTTATGACATGGAGCATTGTCAACAAAAAGTATGACTTTTCCTTCTCTTTTCATACGTTTGTGTTCCTTTTCCACTTTTGGTATGAAACACTCTAGGAACCACTGTTCGAAAATTTCGACGTCCATCCAGCTACTCTTCTGATTTTTATAAAAAACTGGTAAATTAGTCACGTTTTTGAAGCAGCGAGGCTGTTTGTATTTTCCGATAACCATAATTTTGAGCTTGTGCGATCCTGTGGCATTTGTACATAGCATGAAAGTCACTCGATCTTTTAGTACTTTTCGTCCCGGGGCAGTTTGCTCTGAACGACTTGCGAGAGTTTTCCTTGGCAAATTTTTCCATAACAAACTACTCTCGTCCGCATTGTATATATTTTTAGAGTCGTATTCTTCTTCTTTCATTTCCGCAGAAAACTGTGCAAAAAATAATTGTGCAACTTCGTTATCACTAAACAGACTTTCTTTTTGAACGCTGAGCTCGCGAATATCATGTCGTTGTTTAAATCTGTCATAATATATACATAAATATGTATACATACATATGTATACATACATATTTATGTATTTTATATATTATTTATATTTATATTATATTATTTATATATTATGTACATAAATATGTATACATACATATTTATGTACATAATATATAAATAATATATACGTAATAGACATAAATTTTTTACCTCCACAGCTAACCGTTACTTCCTTTGAAGTGATCAGGGCCATTCAATTTTTGATTGAGGATAATTGCTTTTTTTTTAGAAGTGGACCCGAGATTGGTTCTTCTAGTAAACGCCGTTGTTGAAACCACATAAATAACGCTTTATTCAGAAGCTGATGTTCTACATAGTTTATTACTTTTTTCTTTAAAGAACCGTCATTATCCTTTACTAAACTTGCATATTTATAAAGGTCATTTTTCTTCTTTTTGATTAACCATATCGTAGAATGTGCGACGTTGTACTTAGCTGCCAATTTTGCAACGGATTCACCTTTTTCCAAGCAACTCAATATTGCTATTTTTTTAGAAATTTCTAATCGCCGGTATTTTTTCTTGACTTTGTCTATCTCACTGTATTTATGTAAATGCTTAATCGACGCGTTTTTGCATGAAATTGTCCTGAAACAAAATAACGAGTTTAGGAAATCTGTCAATGCACGGGACGAAAGGCAGCGATATGAGGATGCGCATGTGGTAATATATACATGTTGTGTGATCACATACGCATGCTTATGTCGCATTATTTTTGCAATTGCTATGCGACAAAATTATAAATATACACTCACTTCGTAAAATATGTAAGGATTCCGTCCTCCATACTTGAGCACTGCACGGCACTGTGTCGAAGACAGAGAAGGAAAGAGGCTAAGTCCATCGTGACCGCTTTCTAGCATGCTATTGGATACCTCTCGCAGTCGGGTTTGTCTCCGCATCAATCCAACTGAGAGAGGTTCCACTGTATACTTCTTGTAATAATTGCAATTCCTGTTATATTGGGAAAATCAAACGTCATCTGGATACGCGCATAAAAAAACATAACTCTAACATCAAAAAACATAAAACTAATTCTTTACAAATAATTGTTGATCGTTAGTGACAAATTTCGACAAATAATGAGATGCATTTAATTCGACCAAAAACTGGAGAATGAAACTAATTATTCTGTCATTAATAAACATAGAGTGTCGCTTAACCATGATTTGGACTAATGTTTCCATCCTACATAACAAAGCTAACGTAAAAAAGAAAGAAATAAGTGAAATGATTTTTATTAAGAAACAAAAAAATTCCATAAATTTGCAAAGGGACACGAACATTTAAATTTGATTTATGACACTATTCTTAATTTATTTTAGTCCTTAGTAACGCATTATATTATTTATATTTTACCTATAATAATTCCATTTTAATATCATTTTTATTTACTATGTATATACGTTTTATTTTCTGTTTACGGAGGTTTTAGTTGTATTATTTTAGTTGTGTTGATTATTTTATCTTATTTAATCGACTTTTATTTCTCTCTTAACAATGTTTTTGACTTGTTGTTGGCTAATCTGTGTTCGGTTAATCTAACGTTACTTATCAAAAGGAGTACTACTTTTCATTAGGATATTAATTATATTATGTCAAGTTTTTTAAATTTTGATCTTATACTATAAATTGACATCACGAGCGTATAGTTTTTACCATTCTACATTAAATAATGGTGTTATATCTCTAAAAACTATAACTATTAAGGTATAATTACTCATATTACATCCGCTTGACGACGGGCACTGACCGCGTAAAAACGCATACGCTGCGAGACACACGCAGAACCGAAATTGCCCAATGTGCAAGCAAAGCGGAAGGACTTGGAATTTACTTCGCTTGCACCTAGGTCCTTGACCTGTTGCCAGGCACCCTTTCCGATCAAAGAACTTCCAAAAAGCAAGACTATAAAAACGGAGCAGGAGACGCGTTCAGGAGTCGCTCTCGAGTCGTTAATTTAGAGTAACCTCGCTAACCGCGTGCGATCTATAACATCTTATCGCAGTCGCGCGCGCGATTCACGAAGTCATAGTTAACTAGTGGAAATAAAGAAAACGTCAAGTAGTTAATTCAAATAAAAATTCTTTAATAGTGAAAAAGTGAAGTGCATTCATTCAATCATCCCGATTCAAGCCCTGACGCCCCGGATCCTCATCCTAATTTAGCGCGACTCCTTGTGCCTTACCCGGGGCACACAACAATGGATATTACAAATTATAATATTATAATTATAAATTAGACGTTTTATTTTGTTATTACTTTCAACCTTGTCTCTTACTTACACTGTATTGTAATTAATTTTTGTAGCCTAAAGAGGACGCAATTTAGGGTCGAAACGTTGTTTCTTTTGCAATAAAAGAATTATTACTCTTGGCCAGTGGTGGTCAATAAAGTTCTTTTAATTTTATTTATATTTTTACTTAAAACTATATTAGGCATTTTATCATAACTCATTTTAATCCCACGAGTAGAGAGGAAATACTTTGTTAACTCTAACAGACCCTTCTATGAGGGCGACCTTACTCCGGAGAATCGGCCGGTACTTCGGCGGGACCGTTTAAGACAGTTATTGTAAAAGTTGCCGCCGCGAAGGCGACGAGCTTCGGCTACCTCGCCCATGCGGGCATACGCCACAACTGCTACCTACCGTCACCGGAACCGCCTCGAAAATGGCGATAGAAAAATCCAGCAGCGCCTACGGGCGTACGCAGAATGGACAATTTAGCCACAACGAGCGAGCCCTCCTGCTTCTCCAGCTGATTTTCCTCCTAGGGACCGCACTTACGCCATTAGGACCCGATGTGCGTGATTCTGAAATTTCCGTGTCCGGTGAAGACCTGTGTG